ACAACTCATCTCTCAAAATCTCTCTCATTTAAATTTTCGATGTCTATGGGCTCTGGTAATTAGTTAACACCAGGTCGGCCGTGAGATTATTCACACATGTAAGCAATGAATAAAACGTTTATATTGTAACCATACCGTCGATACTTTCAATATTATAATCCGGATTCACTCGTGCGAAACCGGGTGAGTAGGTAGTTGTCTTATAAAGCAAATAAAAAAAAACATCCACTTTATCAGATTATAGACGAGTTAATATAAAACTCAAGTACTCTTTGTTATATACAAATCGAGATAATTCATCATTATCTAATTTTTGTAAATATTTAGTTGTAATAAATTAATTTGGTACAGATTATACTAGTTTATTTGGCTGTGAAGGTATTTACTTAGCGCGTTTATGACAAAAAAAATTTGCGCCTGAATACCTGCTTTAGTAAAAACTTTTTGATATTCAACTATGTGTTTATATCCGTATTTTGAAACAAATTCTTTGCACGTAATTTGCACGTTTTCTGTATGTTTCTTTTGTGAACAGTAGTAGTATTTAGTGTAATAGGATATTTCAATTCAATCTTTAATCACATAAATTTTTTAAAGCATTATCATTCTTAGCAGATATGTGATTTTTAATGAAGAAGTCTTTTAGAGCTACGGAATGGCCAACAACTTATTAGTAATTACTGTAAGTCATGGACGCCGTAATCTGAATAGTGTAACTAGTGAGACACGTATTCTCATTATTCAAATCGAAACTTTGTGAAAGAAATAAGCAGGCTCCTAATACACATAAATTTCATTAATAACATCGCATAGAAGGCATACGCGTCGTGGGAAGAAAACCATCCATATGATCAGAACTGGTTAAGAGAGTGGTTCGTGGTAGTTTACACTATGCCGCCCATGCCACCCATGACCGAACACTACGGAAGAAAGTCACATATGGTCGCGATCTTCAGCAGTGAGGGAACGATGAGGAAGAAAATTTATTATATTCTCAAAAAAAGGCTTAAGAAATCTATTACGTTCCAATCGCCCCGAAAAAGAGTGGCTTTCTTTGGTTTTAGGTAGCTAATCTTGTCGCGTAATTTGAAAAAAAAAAACAGAGGCACCGAATTATGAACCTTATCCTTTTGATAATTTGAAGTTTATTAACCAAAAATTGCTCTGAATGTTCACCTGAACAAAGATCGTTGTAAATTGACAATACCTAAACACCATACGTCTAATGGACTGTTTTCCAAACATATCTTTTAAAATCAATGCATTACCATTAATTAACTAACGGGAGAACTCTCTGTGTGTTAACTAACGGCATCCTGAAAGACATAAAATTTAAGATGCCACTACTGCATTTAAATTCCCAGTGAATCCAAATTTATAGTGAAAACTAATCAGTGATAAGACATTTTTTATTTTACAATTTCTCAACGAATTTTAACTAAATATTTCATCATTTTCATTAAATATGTAATATACATATATCTCGTCATTCTTTCACAAATCTTTTTATATATTTAATTAAAATCTATATCAATATATTATACAAATTCAATTTTTGTAAACTGATATATTTCACTACATTATTTTCCTACCCGTTTCATTAAATTTCGAATAGCCAATTTGAAATCTCACTCTGATTAAAATTAGCCTTATTTAGGACGCTTACTTTACATTAGATGCCATTTGGTTGACACTTACGTAACTGACACCAGTCCGTCTACTTAACACTAAATAACCCAAATAATTACTAAGCAGGCGCAAATGATACAAACCTTGCACAATTAAATGGTTAATCTAATCATAAAGTTTTAATCACCGCTGTTGAACGAAGACATGTTTCTTAAAAGTTTCGTCTATACTATAATATTATAAAGAGGAAAGATTTGTTTGTTTGTTTGTTTCGAATAGGCTCCGAAACTACTGGACCGATTTGAAAAATTCTTTTTCCATTAGAAGCCGACATTGTCCCTGATGAACATAGGCTACTTTTTTTTATTTATTTTTTATTTTTATTTTTTGGTTTCATGTGTGTTTTAATGTTTCCGAAGCGAAGCGAGGGCGGGTCGCTAGTTTTTATATAATTTTATTGAAGCTTGCGAAATATAATTGCTTCTAGAATTTCATGTCTGACACTATTGGTCAATACAACGACTGATTAATGATTTTAATTGTGTTCGAATCAATAATAAATCGTAATCTATTACATCTTTAAGATACTGTCGATTTCGCAAAGAAAGTCTAATAGATATATAAAAAAAAAACATTGCTAGGTTTTTTTGTTTGCTTTTTCTTTCGTTTATCCAATAGAGTTAAAGTATCGTATAGTTTTTTTGTTAACATATCACGGAAGTTTTCCGGCATAGTACTATGAATATATGTTACACGCGAGTGGGTGTACATATTTCATCTAGTGAAGAGTTTTACGTTTTATAAAAAGGTGTTCAGAATGTACATAAAATGTCATAAATTTCATGTTTATAATTCAATTGGAATTTATTTATTTCTTTAAGTGTTTACTAAGATATAGATGGCGAACTAAATTCCCCAGACGTTATCTACCAGGCATTGTCGAGAGTGTAGTATTAGTGTGGAAATTATGACATTTTAAACTGTAGTTATGTTACTTAAGCAGTCCTGTCGCGAACCAGTCATGAATTCTGCCGTTATATGTTAAAAAAAATTAAATAGGCAATTATTTTGAAGAGACAATGGGCGTAAAGCAAATAAAAATAAAAAAAAACATCGTATTTCCATATATCTAGTGGGACGTCAAATTTTATTTTATTTTTTATTCAAATTTATATTCAAATTTTAATTTCAGTAGTTTCATAGTAATCTTGAAAAAGTACGGATTCTTAATTATTTATGTCTTCTTTTTTTGCACTACATAGTTTAATAAAATTCAATCTTCGACGTCATGAATCAGTGTGAGTGGCATGCAATATATAAAAAAAAACTTATCGAATATTTGTTGTGAAAACATCAAATTTCTTTCTTTGTAATTTCTAAATCACCGCTGATGGCCTTTTTCATGTTAAACGCTTACTGAAGTCAGTATATCGGCCTGGTGTAAATAGGCAAAAAGTAATCTATATACATATATAAAAATGAATTGCTGTTCGTTAGTCTCGCTGAAACTCAAGAGCGGCTGGACCGATTTAGTTAATTTTGGTCTTGAATTATTTGTGGAAGTGCAGAGAAGGTTTAAAAGGTAAATAAATATGAAAATTCTCGGAACCAAATAAAGTTTAGGTCTTTTATTTATCGATTGAGCCACTACGAAGTCTGCCGGTTCAGCTAGTCGTTACTAAAATAGGCTGTTAATGATGACTGGTTTTATTTTCTAGACTGGACAATAAACACTTTTTATAAGTATTTGCTATGCGTAATAGACGTTGTATAATTGAGTCGTCTATTATCAAAGGTGGAAATCTGTGCATTTGGACAAAACATTTTTATTGATATGTCAATACAGATTTATTTGAATATAATCGTCTCCTTCAAAGAATACGGTTCAAAACCTGCATTAAATAAAGGTTAATAGTTAACCTGTTATTTATCTAAGATGTCGTTCCGAAGAGTTTTGTGACTGCCAATGGAATACAAAGTCAATAATTCGTTTTTCTGATTTACCAATCATTGTCCAAAAGTCAGATTGCCGGCTTTGATAATAGTCGACTCATATATNAGTTTTTAAAATTCTTGATAGAGTTTCTCTTCGTTTGCCGCTAGGGGCGCTGTTGGAAACCCCATACAAATTCGAGTTAGCTTTTTTTTATTGCTTAGATGGGTGGACGAACTCACAGCCCACCTGGTGTTAAGTGGTTACTGAAGCCCGCGGTGAAAGAATAATCGTGTAATAAAAATCAAACCCGCAAAAATTAGAATATGCGTAATTATTGGTGGTAGGACCTTTTGTGAGTGCGCACGGGTAGGAACCACCATCCCGCCTATTTCTGCCGTTGTAACTATACTGAGACCTTAGAACTTATATCTCAAGGTGCGTGGCGCATTTACGTTGTACATGTCTATGGGATCCAGTAACCACTTTACACCAGGTGGGCTGTGAGCTCCTCCACCAATCCCAGCTATAAAAAAAAGTCATTTAAAAAAGGAGATTGAAATATTAAATTTCACGAATGTTTTGACTTTGCAGGCAATGTAATGCAATTAAAATCAGAGCTACACGAGTTCAACTGTTACTTATGTTCAGAAGGCAATTTCTTTAGCTAGTACCTGCGCTTTCAGGCTCACAATACGCCCAACCCACTTGTTTATAGTCATACTGTATATACAGGCTTAGTTTGAAGAGTAAAATAAAATACACCCTGTATTTTACGTTCGCGTATTTAGTGATGTGAAAGAAGGAAATTTATGGAACTCACACATAGATAATTGAAAGTGCCATCGATGCCACCAGTATAAAACTCAAAAAACATTAATAAATTTTAGTATCATATGTTATGATATTACTATGCTAAATGTAGAAAGAGATGAAACGTTTTCTTGGAAAATTAATTGAATATAACGTAATTTATTTAATTGTTATTCCTAGCAAAACTAATCTTAATGCTATTAGTATAATAGAAAATATTCAATAACTAATGCACTGGTAGTTTCCTCTATAACTTGTATTAATTTTTTTTACTAAATAGGAACAATAAGAATTAAAAAATAACATATTCAGAAAATAAATTGTATCATTCATTTGTCGCTAATAATTCTAAATGTCTCTAATTAATAAACTTAACGTTAATTTTTATTCAAATATCAACAGTCTCTTACAGCGTAAGCATTAAAAATAAATAAAAATATCTATTATGTTTATTATTAATTAAGAAAATTTAGATTCATTTTATAAATTTAGGAAAACGCTGTTTGTTTATTTATTTGTTAACAAAGTCTAAATAAACAAATAACATTTAAAAACATTTGAATTTAAACAAACTGTATGAAATGGAAAGCGCGGTAATTAAAAATGATAATAAGACAAAACTCACTTTGAATTTCGAGTCTTTCCAGTTTTTCTTCAGCCCTCTGTTGCACTTCTAAAGGACTTTCTATGTGATAAAATATACTTGCGCCCACCAAAAGGTAAATTATGTGGAGAGCAAGCATACAAGCTAGTTGCTTTGTGGACATCATCTTGACTAGGTTTTATAAAAAAAAATCTAATTTTTTTTTTTTTTTTAAATATTTGCAGCACCCCAGCCTCGAAACACAGCACCGAAATGTTCGCAATAAACTGTCACGCACAATTAAAAAATCCGTTTCGTCCATTCCGCGCTCACTAATTGAAGTTTCATGATCTTCATCGTCAATGTCCCACGACGATCCGATCGGTACCGACACAGCGTGGTCATGTTGTGCTCATTTCGTTCGGTTAGTCGATGGAAAACTAAGTTTTTTTTTTTATGAGTTCCCGATGCGTCGATGTGGTACGTAGCGAACGTTGTGATTGAATGATTTTTCCCGGCGCGGGCGCTTGCACGACAGTCGTACGGCGATGTCCTTTTTTTATACGACAAGTTCTGAATATCCGAGTTACATTACGCATTAGCTCGTCGTAAAGGATAATAAGTAAGGTTGTAACCGACATAGTTATAGAGGCACTGACGCATTGATAATGTCGCCGCGATGGGAAAGATTTCGTTTACAACGTGGGATTAAAGAGGATTCTGCATTTGATAATGTAGTGTGTGTGCGAAGAGAACGTTACATCACATACTCCGATAGTGTTTTTTGTTAAAATAAGAAAATTGTCTATGTTTCTTATCATTATTGTTGATTTTAAACATCGAAAAGAATCTATTTCGAATGTATATAACTTGTTCTAATTTTAATTTTTATTAGCATTTAAATAACATAACTAATATAGAGAAAAACACATTCTAAATTCTAATAAATTTTATTATAATACATTTACAAAATACATTTGAGGATTTTTTCGATCAGAATATTCTTATGCAGAATCAATCTAATTTTATTAGTAAAATGAGATATATTAATTTAAATTTATTAACAAATATATATGATGAGCTTACAAAGTCATTCTATATAGTTTTTTTATCCTTTCTGGACCTGGTTATATTTCTTTTCATGACAATCTTTTTAGAAGTCCATCTACGCTGTTTCGTTTTTTTTTTTGATTATGTCCAATAAGGTAAGACCTTAGAGACCTTTAATGCCCCCGAAGGGTCAGGCAAATTTTGGAACTCACCACTTTAGGTTTTCCTTCGACTTCTATAACTCTCTCTCTTTCTTTTTATTGGAATGCTCACACCAATCTCCTTCATTCTTTCCTTACCGGTAAACTTATTGTCGAAATCCATTCAGTAAAATTGTCATGAGCATTACAAGCATTAAACAGGTATTTCGGTCACCACAGGGAAATCCTTAAAGATTCATTTTCGACATATTACGTGAGGAAATCGAATGGACGAATGAATGTGACGCCGTTATGACGTATGCAGTTCGGAATATGCTCCTAGCTCCCACGAAACCGCGAACATCACTATTGTATCGATTTTATCGAGAATGGGTTTTAAATTCGGTACGTGTCTTCTAACACGTTAATTGGGACGTGGTCTCTAAGCACGCGGTTTCCAAGTCCATTTTCCGGGTTTTTGTGTGATGTCATTATAATATACATATGTCGATAAGGTTTTGGAATCAAAATGTATTTTTGTTGTACAGGAAACCCCACTTAAAGTTGATTTGAAATAGAAAACTTTAAGATCACGGACAAGATTGAAACGTCTGTCTAAAAACGATTTGGATTGATAAAATAATAACATTAATGTATTGCATATTATCTATTCTATCGGCCCACATGTGTCCACTGCTGGGCCTCCTTAGAGCTTCCCCAAGACTCACTACAACGATCGGTCCTGCGCTGGTTGCTGTAGCCCGCACCAACTTGAAGCCCCTTCAGGTTATTCAATCCCGATTCTGCAGGATAGCCGTCGGAACACCATAGTTCCTGAGGAACGTGGATCTCCACGATGACCTGGAGTTCGACTCTGTCAGTATGTATCTACAGTCGGCATCATTGCGCCATTTCGAGAAGGCGGCACGACATGAGAACCCTCTTGTCGTGGCCGCTGGAAACTACATACCCGATCCTATAGACCGAATGGTAAACAGTGGACACAGCCCACTGAGTTTCTCACTGGGTCTTCTCAGTGGGTCGCGTTTCCGCTCCGGTGGTAGATTTTGCGAAGCACTGCTCTTGCTAGGGTCAGTGTTAGCAACACTCCGGTTTGAGCCCCGTGAGTTCACCTACACACGTTAGGATGAAGCTGAAATAGCCTCTCAAGGCTATCAGCATAGGGAAAAAAAAACCTGGTTGCATCCATCGGATCCCCGCGGACCTCAAGAGGTCGTCCATCTTGTGGGAGGCCTACCCACGCTACGTGTTCCGGTACGTTGTCACTCACCATCAGGTGGGCCGTATGTTCGTCTGGATACAAGGGTAATAAAAAATAAAAAAAACTACACAGTTGCCGGTTGCCTGAACCAAATTACTTTTCAAGTAAAAATTCGTCGTCGTGGGTTAAAGGATAAGACTCTCGGTGGATTCATATCGAGCGATGTGAATGTGCCGGTGTTCGAATCCGCCGGCAGATACAAATTTGCTTTAATGAAATATACACGTACTTAACACACGGTTATAAATTACTTCCACGACGAAGGATTAAAATCGTGTAATAAAAATAAGCTCGCCAAAATTATAATTATACATACGTAAAAATGATTCTCGTTTTTTTTTTATTGCTTTGATGGAAGAATGGAACGGAAGAGCTCACGGTCTACCAGGTGTTAAGTGGTTACCGGAATCTATAAACATCAACAACGTAATTGCGGCACCCTGGTCTTCGTTTTTACAGTACAACGTCTGCTGGATCCTTCAAACCAATATGCATTACTGCTTCACGGCAGAAATAGGCAGGGTGGTGATACCTACCCTTTTTTTTTTTTTTTTCGGGCCGGGGGCCGAACCTCCTATGAGGTCCCCGCGCCTAGGGGGCGCGCGGGGTATGTGAGACTCAACGATTTGCAGGTGTTGAGAGCAGATCGCGGGCCCCAGGATTTTAGGACCCACCCACTAAACGACTCCCCTGCCCGACATCCGATCTCCGTCCGGGGTCAGAACCCGGTCAGAGTAGGGGGGTTCCCGCGGTCAACACTACAACCAGACACGCGGCGCCACCCCGAGGACGCCCGACCAACGACGTCGGTCTCCGCGGTACGGCGGCCCTATCAGGCCGCCCGGGCGGTGCCGCTGGTGTTCCGGGATACCCCGCTGGGCCAGAACCAGCCTGCCGGGTCGGAACGCGATACACCGCCGACCGGGTTGCTCTTCAACAGTATGTTCGGCGACGACAGCGACGACGAAAATGCGGACCGCATCGCAGTCCGCAGCCGCCGACGCGCCGCCCCGTCCTCCTGGTGCCAGCGCGCTAGAGTGACGGTAGCGTGCGGCGCAGCCTCAACCCCCTTAGGTCGTTGGTGATACCTACCCGTCCCAACTCACAAGACGACCTACTACTTGCAATGATACCATTTCTCATTGCAAGTAGTAGGCAATTGCAATTGCAAGTAAATACACATAAAAATTGGCGTTTTTTAAAAATGTACCCGTAAAGTATAACTATCGCTACGTTTGAAGGAAGAAGCATGACATTCAACACCTATTAAAGTTTCTTATTGAATTTTTTCGGTAACCAGATCACACACGGGCATTCCCCGTACTATGCGACTAGATACTGATATAGATATAAGTGTCTATATATTGCTATGTCTCGCTGTATAGATGATAAATAGTCAGACAAAGGGCAAGCAAACGTGTTTGTTCACGAGAATATTTTACCTGAAGTGGGCTCGTATCCATGTAACTTCAGTCCAACAGTCAACTGGCCACCGACAACGACATCAGCCATTGATACTAATAATGTTCATCAATTTGATAAATGACGATTTTTTTTTTTTTTTAACTTAACAGTGTCACAAACTCTGAAACTATTCTCCAAGTCTATCTGTATTTTCAAATATAGGCTTCAAGAAGTCAATAACCGCTTACCTTCATTTACTCACTCACTCTCACTCATTTACCTTCGTAACTGTAAATCTAGTTTCAATCTTCAGTAAGTACTGGAATGACATATTCTGAGTTCTGGATGCTTCGGTGTCACACTGACTGACTGTGCTGAAAAAACACAGCCTTGATTTTAACGTTTACAGCATATAATATATTAGTTGTCGTCCGTGTGCACGAAAACTGTGGAGTTTTTTAAAATTCAGACATTGTCGAATTAAAACTAATAAGAATGCTGTTAAGCCGTAAAAATGGTAATAATTATAATCCATTTAACTATAGCAGTAGAAGTAATTTCGGGTAATTAATGGTTTATAACAGAGAAATACGAAAGCAGTTATCTAAAATTAGTGTTGTCAAAAAATAATATACATATACTTTTTGTAAGAGAAAACCTTTTAATAAGTAAATAAATAAAAATGATTAAAATACATTTGCTCGTTTAAAATTTTCAGGTTGAACAAATCAAATAGCTTAAAAACTCAATTGAATTTTCACATGAAAATTATTGAATTTATCTTTTTTGCGGAATTCTAATTATTAGTAAGTTAATAACAGTTTTTTTTGTTATTTACCTTGTAAGGCAGGAAAAGTTCTTGAGTGGCGACCACGTACCGGAAGACGTAGCGTGGGTAGGCCTCCCACAAGATGGACCGACGTTCTATCGAGGTTCGCGGAGATCCGCTGTATGCAGGCAGCGCAGGACCGGTCTTTGTGACGAGGATTGGGGGAGGCCTATGTCCAGCAGTGGACGTCTGTGGGCTGATAAGAAGAAGAAGTAGGCAGGCACGAGCCTACGGCTCATATGATCGTGAGTTACCGTTGCCAATGGCCGTCGTCAACTAAGCCGCTGCCTACCGCTGAATACAAATATTGTAGCTGTCATGAAACCAATATGAAATCGGGTTGCTTTCATTCGGTTTGTGGAAATTGATAAGTCGGAATTTTCATATGTCCGTCGGACAAAAGGACAATGAACCCATTTTACGCTTAATATGGTAGTGTGAGTTTATATTATAAGGCTGAAGAGTTTGTTTGTTTGAAAGCGCTAATCTCTGAAACTGCTGGTCCGATTTTAAAAATTATTTCTGTGCAGATAGCTCATTTATTGAGGAAGGCTTTAGGCTATAACATCACGGTAAGATCAATACAAGCGGACCACCAATAAAGAATGTATCAAAATAAGGGATTTAAATGGCTCTTTAACATTCTATAATTCAAAAATATTTTCAGTTTCTACGTAAATGAAGTGGGGGGTAAAATTTAGCGCGCGGAGTCGCGGGAAAAGCTAGTTAAGTATATTATTAATGGTAGCAGCCACCTTCCACTTTACTAATAACTAAATATCAAACTAGCAAGTGTAACAGCTT